CTGTGAAGTCGTGTAGCGGCGTAACATTTCATGTGTAAACTTTCTGTGTTGGTCGGCGTTTGGAGCCTGGTCAAACGAAGGCCCCCTTTTGCAGAAGTCCCGTTTTGTCTTTATCTGCCCGTTGTGAAGCGTATCCCTCGCGAAACTCCTGTCAGCGCTGCAGCTCGTGTTAGGCACGCTTCTGGGTTGCGAACCCAGCTTACAACTTTTATTTTGTGTATAATCCGTCCGTCCGGCTGTCTGTCCGACAACATCGCACGTGCCCAATGAAGTCCCTTTCGAGTTCACATCTAGGTGAAAATGGTAACGATGACATTTATTATTATTATTATGATTATTATTATTATTATTATTATGATTATTATTATTATTATCGATTCCTTGGTTAAAATGTTTATTATGATTGTTGTTTTTGATAATGATTGGGGAACTTATGTCGCACACGTCCCAGTTATGATTGGTCGAAGTGGTATCACGGTTGTTGTTGCATTTTAGAAAGCCTACAATGGACACGTCATTATCGTCAAGGGGTCGGGCATGGGGAGAAGTGGGTGTGGTCGCGCCACCCCAGTTGTCCGCGCGGCTTCTATCACAACAGCAACAATGCTGGTAGTGGATGCTACGATCATAACAGAACCGAGGTTGCTGTGTGGCTGATTGGTGGGGGTGAAGCCGGAAGTTGGGTCCTGGTTCCGGCTGTCGAAGGCGGCGACGAGATTTGTGCTGATATCGATGGAAGAGGTGGGAGTTAAAACAGTAACCGCCTCTGTAGTATTTGCTTCCGGGTGTCCGATTCGTCGGCGAACGAGAAGTTGCTGGTCTCGTAACAGTCGTCGTCGTCGTCGTCGTCGTAATGGTAGCAGAACGATTAGATTTTATACTGCAGCAGTTGCTGAAAGAATTATCACTGTTGCTACTGCTGCTGGTCGTAGGGTCACTGAGATGAGGCGGCTTCTTGATGTTGTTATTTGACTTGTTGTGGTTGTAGTTGTTATTAGAGGTGGTGGTGTAGTCGTGTCTCTTCATGACCGTAATGCCAGATGCGTAGTACAGACTGCGTCTGTTGTAAAAGCTGACCGCCCGTAGGTTCTCTTATATCCCGCACTTGGGGATTGTTGTTGATGTTCTTTCGTACTTGGGGACGTAGAAACGGGCCTTTTCTGTGCTTATATTTCTGGTCGTATTTGGAAACTCGCTGCTCGTGGTACAAGGAAAGCTTGGGTTGGTCTGGTCTATTTGGACGAAAGTGCCTGTCGTCAGCGGGTCGGAAAGGAAGCTTCACCGACCTGGGGTTGTCCTGCTGGCCCTCGGGTAGAACAGGTTCCTTTTCTTCCATCACCAGGTGCAGAACACCACCTTCGGTGTCACCCGATGGGTGTGTGCTGACGGTGATCCGGAAAACGGGTGAGGCGGTAAAAGGCACGTCTCCGTGCTTTTGATCTTTGTCACGGCCGCCCCTGTGGTCCTTATGAGAAGAAACAGAAATGTCCTTAATGATTATGGAAGGTTAGAAATTTAATTATTCATTTATTTACTTATTTATAGAATGCTTGAATATTTGGGTTATTTATTTATTTTTCGTGTTAAAAGTATTTTGCCCCAAACTTTGGAAGTATAAATTAATTTTAATTTAATTGAATTAAAATTAAATTTTAAATTCAATAAATATTTAATTTCTTTTGAAGTATTTTTTTTCTCTGATTTTGTTTTGGGGTTGGGGTCAAGTCTTGATGATAAGATTTGCAGAAGTTTCAACCGAGTCAAGAGTAAGAATGTTTGTGTGTAAATATATAAATACCTACTGTTAATCTCTACATGTAGGTGCGTTTTTGTCTCCACCAAAACCCGTAATTGCTAATTAGAAATTGGAAAAAATAAAAATAAAATAAATAAATAAATAAAAATCTAAAAGAAAAAGATGGCTACTCTAAACAAGACTCCTCAATAGGTCATTCAATAATGTCTAATCCGTTACAAAATTTAGAATCGAAGCCCAGTCTGGGATCGTCCGATGATAAATTTGGAGAAAGAGAAAGGCGGAATGAGGTTTGGAGATCCGCCTTCTCTTTCTCAGAGAAAAAAGTGTCCTGACGTCTGCAGAGGTGATTAGAGCAAGTGATTTTTTCTTTCTCTTTTTCTTCTTTTTCTTCTTTTTCCGTGAAGTGATTTTGTTTCTTTTTTTCTCCTGTTGATGCCTTCTTTCTAGGCTTTTTCTTTTAAAGAAAATGCTTCACTCCGGTAAACTTGTTACGGCGTCAAACTGGAAATACCTAAAAAGACAAGAAAAATAAACAAAAAACGAAACACTTATTATGAAGAGCATAATTAGCAGAATAAAAAAAACTTTTATAAAACCCACGAAACATACACAATCATTCATAAGCGTAAGTAAACGTTGGATGGATCTATCTATCTATCTATCTATCTATCTATCTATCTATCTATCTATCTATCTATCTCAGTCTTTTCATTATCTCAGTCTGTTCATTTTCTATCTATCTATCTATCTATCTATCTATCTATCTATCTATCTATCTATCTATCTATCTATTTAGATCTATCAATCTTAATTTAGTGTGTTCATAGCTATCTATCTATCTATCTATCTATTTAGATCTATCAATCTTAATTTAGTGTGTTCATAGCTATCTATCTATCTATCTATCTATCTATCTATCTATCTATCTATCTATCTATCTATCTATCCCAGTTTGTTCATTTTTGCATCTATTTATCTATCTCAGTCGTAACATAATAAATAAAACATATATATAGGTATACATAATGTCCGGCTACTCTCTCTTTCCTTTCGGCTACGTCGTCAAGACAATCCCTGTCGCTGGTACCCGCTCAGGCATATTTGTGTTTATTCAACACACACCTATAGTCTATATTGCAACCATGCTCTGCAGACCTTAGTTAAAGTTTCTGTGAGAGAGCGCATATTCAATCGTGATCGGCAAGTTGAAGAACGCCAATACGCTCAAACTCTCGGTCACGATGACTTGTAAATTTGTGCTAGCACAATTATCGACATACCGAACTGTTCCGTCATACCTACCTATCTATCTACATTAGATTTTGTTTATACTTATCTATCTCATTAATAGCTCTACCTATATACCTACCTACCCACCTGCGTTTATTATCAGTAGTAGCAACCTGCCAACCAACCTATTTTACCTACTTGTGTGTTTATACACACACACACACATATATATAAATATATATATATATATATATATATATATATATATATATATATATATATATATATGTAATAGCATCCTACCTACTTAGTTGCCTACCTACTTACCTGTGTTTATCTCTCTCTCTCTCTCTCTCTCTATATATATATATATATATATATATATATATATATATATATATATATATATATATGTGTGTGTGTGTGCGCGCTTGCGTGTGTGTCAAAAACTCTGTCAAACTGACCAAATGACTATTCAGATCGGGCTTCTATCTTGATCAGATCGATAACTTTTCATCATCTTCTTAATATTTACTCACACACATTATATATATATATATATATATATATATATATATATATATATATATATATATATATATATATATATATATATATCCCTTGTTTAGAATGGGGTTCCGCTGCCTTCTAAAGTCTTCTAACTCTCTTTCACTCCCAGTAACCGCTTGCATCTTAGTGGCGATACCACCTGCTTGAGATAAATTGATTACACACACATATATATATATATATATATGTATGTGTGTGTGTAATATATATATATATATATATATATATATATATATATATATATATATATGTGTGTGTGTGTGTGTGTGTGTGTGTGTGTGTGTGTGTGTTTCTATCTCTTGCTCAAAATTTGTAACTTTTTAACGTTAAAATATTTGTTCAATTCGTGGTTTATCCTAATTTCCCGTCATTCACTTTCACGCGTTTTATATTTTAATGAACGTTTATCCGTATATAGGAATATTTACTGGAGAGGGATGGGCTCCACCGGGTTAAAACTTCCAAGACACGCCACACGATGAACACACCATAGAGCCATTAGCGGAGACCCAGTTTCTGGCACACAACCGCGACAGATGGAGGAGAATGGTGGTCACCTTGTCTCCTGAAGGTCCCAACGACTCCTTCCGGAATTAAGGGCGAAAGAAGAAGATGGTTTGTTGAGTACATTCTGCTGGGTAGTGAATTAGGGACAAAGGAGCAAGAAAGCAACAGTATTCTATGCCTAGGTTACTAAGGGCTACAAATGACAGAATGTTGTGGAGAGCCATGATCACCCTAGTTTGTGAAGGGAGATGTCATATAGAATAAGATGATGATGATGATGATCCATACGGCCACGATTAGCATATCGGAAACACGGCCAGCCGACCAACGATATTCACGCCCATGCGTAAGACTCAGTCGATACGCTGCTGCTGCAGTCGCTGCACAATTGTTGTAAACTACGTGTCTCAATTTTCGGCATCGAAAGCCAGTAGCCGAGACCTTCAAACAAATTGAAATACCCCGCCTCAACAGGCCAAAACGGCCCAGACAAGGATTGAAAGAAATAAAAGAAATAAAAGAAAAAAAGAAAAACAATGAAAAGTTGTGAAACAATGAAAAGTTGTGAAACAATGAACGAAATCAACCCGATACAAAGTGAAATATCGCAATAAACAATGCCTCATCGGATGCTTAAAACAATGCAAGGGCGCTGGACGTAGTGTAGTCGTCCACAAGTCGATTTCGTACGTTATCAACTCGGGCAGGCCTGCACAAAACACGGCCGTCGGACCGCATAATGCACGCGAGACCACCGAGTATGACATGCGAAGGGTTTTTTTTCAAAATGGAATGAAGAAATGAACGAATGAATGAAGAAATGACAATAGCAAAGAAAGACGGACAGAATGAAGAAACGAAAGAAAGAATCAAAGAAGAAATAAAAGAAAGAATGAATGAAGAAATGAAGGAAGAAACGAAGGAAGAAATGAAGGAAGAAACGAAGGAAGAAATGAAGGAAGAAACGAAGGAAGAAATGAAGAAAGAAACGAAGGAAGGAAATGAAGGAAGAAACGAAGGAAGAAATGAAGGAAGAAACGAAGGAAGGAAATGCGAAAAAATAAACCACGAATTGAACAAATATTTTAACGTTAATTTGTTTAATTTAAAAACGTATTAAGCCTTGTTGGGTTATTCAATGTCTAATATAAGCCTTATAGAATAAAATCCCACCTAATAGATCGGTAGATATAGTTCCTGCTTGCACTAAACGGTAAAAGGTGGACATAGGTAAAATTTAAACACGTGTTTACAAGTATCCACTCTAAAAGTAGTAGCCTTTTTGGTTGTGTTGTCTTATTCCTCTGCAAGTGATGTGGTCGGCGTATTCTACGCCCAACCGACACGAATGGAATGAATGAATCAATAAATGAATGACTGAATGAAATAATCAAAATGAATGAATGAAAGAAGGAATGAATATAGTGTAAACAATACGAACTTCAGTGAATCGAGATTAATTTCCCCCTTTTTAAGGATTCGCCAGCGATAATAAACATCACTTCATTCAGGAAACGAGTCAGCAAAAAGGAATTTTCAGCTTCTCATTGTGAATGTGCCAGACGCGTGAGATAATCACAATAATAAAAAAAAAAACAGAAAAAAATAACACACAAAAAACTAAAAACTAAAAATGACGCACTTGATTTAATTAACCCCTAAATAGAATGACAAAAGCTAGCAAACGCAAACGCGCATGCGCGTGCACACCCACCCACATACATACACACACACACACACGCAGAAGTTTATTTTTCTGGGGCCTATCCCGATTAGATTGCAACAGTTGAACTAGAAATATATCTGGAATGAAGTGCGGGGGGTGTCTAACAAATTCAACTTGTTTCAAAAAAGAAATAAATAAGTTCACAATTAACTCCTTAATATATGGAAAGAGAAAATACAAAAATGTAACATTTAAACGCAACCATTATTTCAATAGTATTCTTTCAGCGCAAAACCCAAGAGCCACTCAAGCTAGAGAGAAGGGAACACCGTTTATGAGGATACGTGTGGAAGATAACGATTAACTCTAGATTTGAACAGGTTAAGTTTTCTAGTAATCGGGGAAGCATCCTCTTAGATAGAGTGGGACTTACATCTCCCCAAACGAATACGAAGGGAATGGTTCGCTACAATGTGCCTAAGGGTGAAGTATACAGTAAACCAATGTGTTAGTTAAATTTATAAGCATAAAAAAATATAGTCATAAATTAGCGGGGAGAGTGGTCTGTTAAAAACGCATCCTTTCAAACATTGCTCACCTTTCT